TTCTTCATTGTTCCCGCTTGTGCCAGTAAATTAGCTACGGTTCAGAGTAACGACACTTGGCCATATTGTGGCTTAAAATCATGGTTGCCAGTTATATGAAGCTTTATCTAAAATCACAGGAAACGCTTTTCTCTCCCTCAGAAATGTTTAAACAACCCGCGACAGAGCATTGCAATATTGCATCAGCTTCCTAGCACCGCATCTAATGCTGAGGAAGTCGTACTTTTAGATCACGTCGATCGGCAGTTGCGTTTGCTCTGAGCAAGACCCAAAATGGCGGCGCCCAAAACAATTTTGGGGAACGGAGTGCCGATACTTTAAAGCTCATTTAGTGACTCTAGGCATAAAGTGAACTCGGGTGTATTCTTTTCCTCTTCGTCTTCATTGTTTATTGATTTCAATCATATCGAATAATGAACACATTATATCACGCTACGCTTGTGTAAATATTGGTCTTAGATTTATTAGCCTGACCCAGTACTTAAACCATTCAGTTATCGATAGTAAATCTTCCAATATATTTTTTAAATGTGAAGGTAAAAAGACACGGAGATTGATGATGATACAGACGCCAACGCCGCCCTCGGAAATTTTTTGAACATTAGAAATCAGCAGTTTGTCTGCCATCCGCCAGGTAGCGCAACAAAACACCCAAACAGTTTTTATTGTTTTTAAAATTAGCTAAGCTCTACACCTATTAAGAAACCAAAGCAATATCATTGTGAAAATTTAATACATCGCAATGTATATCTATTCCAAACTATAAATGTTATTAAATGCCAATAAATCTGTTTGATGTCCAAAACAGATATGCGTCAAAAACAGGTAAGTTTGAAGGGCTCCTGGAGCGTTATGACTTTGAAAATGAAAAAAAGCCATCGTCCACCTCTTGGGCAACCATTGTAGCTCTAAATGTTATAAAAGATTTTATCATAGTTTAATTATTTCTTCAGCGGCATTTGAACTACCATGACACGAAGCACAAAAAAGTGCTACGTTTGATATAAAATATCTAAACAAAAAAAATTTACACAACATTAAATTTTTTTCTGCATATTACCAATTATAAGCACTACATCTGTAGCTAATTTCATTGCCCTAGCTCTTGTCATTAAAAACATATTTGTGCGGAAAAATGTCAATTTTAGGGCAATATTTGGAGGGATGAAAAAAAACAAGTAGTGCAAATATCAAAAAAGTGGATCGTTAGATTCTGCTCCGACATCATCTTAACAAAACTGCTATATTGGAACCGTGCTATCTTTAATGGATCGTTCATAAAACATGAACTAGCGGAGCAAGTGAGGCTCCGCGCCATCATATTCGCAACGCTACAAATGCGCATGAACAGTAAAAACCAACACATACATCATATCAAATGAAAGAGGATTGCATTGCCTTTCAAATGAAATCAATCCCAAAAGACAGTATTTAAAAAGAGATGAGTAATGGCCTGCCGAAAAGTAACTAAAATGCCACATTCAGTGGGACCGTGGCCTTAACGTCAGGGATCGGTTTTAAGCGGCATTTGCGCAAAGTACAAAAATTGTTGCATCGCCCCTTTAATATTACCCATTTAGTGGTTGTCGATGGCGTTCAGCAAGTTTCTAATGGAAAACATATGTCTATGTTCACTTATTAAAAAAAAAGGTAATTAGTTATTATATATAATTAGCGAACTACTTACTAAGTATCGCGCAATTCCTGACTTCCACCACCACGAGTAATGTAGTAATGTGGTCCACAGAAAATTATATTTTTACCTGAAATCCACTACTTCTTAAAGTTTTTGTCAATCTTCTCTCTCTCTCTCTCTCTCTATATATATATATATATATAAAATAACGCAAGGCCTGAGTTTATGCGTAATATGGTTGCTGAGATTTTGACACGCTACTGCACGATATTGGAACGTGTGAAAATGATTTTTATCGGTGTTTGTTTCCCGTTTGTTGGCGTATCGATATCCCGGTAACCGTGTAATATGATATTTACACATTACACATGTGAGCCCCCCAAAATGATTCCAAAAAAATAAAAGACTGGAACATATTTGTTATCACTCAGTCTATAAAAATACCAACGAAGAAACAAACTCCTTTATGGTTAGCTTTTGTGGACATCAAAGGGACGTACGGTAATGTGAGCCAGGAAGAAATTTCGAGTCAAATGAAGGATTATGATTTAGATGCAAATTTGGTTAGGTTTCTTCAGCAAGCGCATACAGACAATAAGGTCTTTATAACATGGGAAGCAGACGCAGAAAATACACAACCAGCAGCAATAAAAAGAGTGCTCAGACCAGGCCGTCCACTGTCACCCTCTTCATGATACACATCAATACAATGGAAAATAAATTAGAGAAAAGCAACTTAGGTTTTAATGTGAGTTCTATGGAAAGAGGGAGAAATGTAATACCGGCAGTGCCAGGACTGATGTATGCTGACGACGTAGCACTCATGGCAGATAAGCAGTGGACATTAAGAAACTACCTGGAATATATAGAGAGGAAGGGAACACCTTGGACAGGAGTTTTAGTAGTGACAGGTATAGAGTTCTTGTGTTTAACGACGAAAGGATGGAACCCGTGAGGATACAAGACATTGTAATAGACCATGTAAGAAAATACAAATATCTGGGAGTCTGGCTTAATGAGGGAAGGAAATATTTAGAGAAAATGAAGAGGATATAATTAAAAGAGGGAAAATAAATGCATCTATTTTGAAGCTCAAGGCACTATTGCACTATAATATGTATGAAGTGGTCAAGGGTATATGGAAAAAAGTGATGGCGCCAGGACTGTCTTTTGGCAGTGGGGTACTGTGCTTGAAATCTGAGGTTCACTCAGGATTAGATATTCGACAAAGAAGCGTATGCAGATTGGCACTGGAAGCACATGGAAAGACAACAAATAAGGGAGTACAGGGAGACATTGGCTGGTCGACTTTTGAGAGCAGGGAGGAAATTTGTAAGTATTTGAACAAAGGTTAACCGAAATGAATGATACGCGGTGGGCACGGAAGGTATGCAAAGTATTTATACATAAAACATTTTAACACAAAATGTACAAACCTATCCCGAAAGCTTACACTTAAATACCTACACACTAGTGATGGGGTAGACTACTTTAGTGTAAAAGCGAGTGAAAGGGCAGAAAGGAAAATGTTTGAGGAAAGAATGCAGAAAAACTGCTCTAACAATGTACGAGTCACAAAAGAGGACATAAGAAAGAAAAAAACGTGCTTGAAAATTCACTGGGAAGGTTTTTACTGTTTGAGGCGAGAAGGGGAGTTTTGAAGACAAGAACGTATAGGGCTAAATTTCAGGAGACAGACACATTATGTGCCGCCTGCCATAATGATAGCGAGACACTAGAGCAGTTAGTTTTGAAGTGCATGGGACTTCGCGCTGTTTTATGTGAGGAGGTAACGGATTGGCCTGGGGCTCTGGGTTTTGCTGGTGGGAATGGAAGGACGAAAGGAAAAAGGATTATAGTCACAAAGAGGCGATTAAGATATCGATTAAAATAATCCAGGGAAAATTGAACGATGCACAACGAATACCTTTTTATTATTTTTGGCATCACTTAAAAACAAACATATAACATACTCGACTCGTCACTCGGATGCTTGGATAGTTGGGGCATCACGCACCTATTATTGTCTTCATATGGTTAAAATGACCTTTCCTAGATTACTAAACACGCTTGTGCGCTATAATTTTGATATGGAATCTTGTAGCACACGTGGGATTAGGGAATATTTTATCAAAATAAACATTCCATAATGTGGCTGATTATTGGGTGTATTTTTTTATTTCTTTGCTTTATTGTTCGATATGTATTCGCATTATATAATTTCTTGTGCATCTTTTTCGCAACTTCGGTGTATCTAAGGGGGCTGAGGACCAGTCAAGCTGCTTGTCTAGCTTTTTTCCTCAGCTCCCGTCAAATTTATATGGTAAAATAAAGCTATTATTATTATTTTTAACTAGCACAGCTGGGGACAGCCGTGAAGGAGGACAATTGGGACTCCCTTCCGCGTGGCTTCGGCCCAAAGTCTCAACCTTGTCTCCCAGTGGATCTGGGGCTGGGTTGACGCCGAATAGGTTTGACCAGAGGAAAATTGGCGACTCCCTTTCCCGGGGAAGGAGGCGAGAGGTGATGTTTTTAGTTTTTGCCTGATCCCCCAAAGGTAATCCTGGTGATATCTCACATTGCCTGGTAATAGTTACGGGATAAAATTGGCTTAGAAGGTCAGGAGGAATCATGTATTTTTCTTTTTAGACTTAGGCTAGGTGGCGCAAGCTACCACCCTTTGCAAAGGTACAGTTATTAACATCCATTCATTCATTTACATTTTCATTCATCTTTGCAAGTAGAATATTCTTTAAGTGGTTTGGTTTAACAACTTGTTGAGAGCGAAGACCATATGCTTAAGGATACCCGCTTTCATTTCTAGATTGTTCGTAGAAATTCTGAGACTTCTGTTATTCATTATTAAAGTTCACCAAGACGACGGTGTGTTTAAATGCGGCAGTCCGCATATACACGCATTTACACAAGACATACAGGACGGCGCTCGTGCGTATTTTGTGTTCCTTTCCTTTGTCCTCGTTTTTTATGTGCTATTGTATTCTGCAGTCCACCTCGTAATAACCTATCGTTTCTGCTTCGGGTTTTCTTTATTTCATGGGTGACCCCTGTCATGGGCTACGGGGCGCAAATATTTGCGTCCCTTGTCCACCCTCTTACACTGCTATTAAGTCAAAATTGGTTTGCAGCGGCTTTCACTGTAGTTGTCATACTTTCCACTTCTAGAGTCTCTTTTTTTTAATAAACTACGGGCGCTCATGCACATGTTTTTTTTTTAATATCTTCGATCACTGCTAGAGAAATGATTTTCTGGGTGTAACTTCCAATAATTCATTATCGCTTCATATACAAAGAAACAAAGGAAATAACATTAGTACCTGCTCAAAGTGGCCTCTATTCCTTCTAGATGTGAACGAGTGCTTGGGCGACAAGCATGGGTGCGTGCACAACTGCATCAACACCGTCGGGTCCTACCACTGCTCGTGTCGTCCGGGCTACCAGCTTGGAAACGATGGCCTTTCATGTTTTCGTAAGTAACTCGAAATAACCGCGCGTTTTGTGTTAATAGGTTTGCTCGTTTGTTTGCGTAGCGAATTAAGAGAGTGCCCAAGCTTTGCGAGTCAATGAATCTATGAATATACTACAGGGTGTCTAAAACCTCCGCCGTGTCACGGAGTCTCCGGTTTCTCACAGAGCACGACGTTTCACGTGCTTATGCCATGGCTCAGTATTACAGCGCAGACAGTTTCTTTTTTGGGTTTAAGCATATTTTCATTGTCGTCATTCCCAACCTCTGTCCATAAAGTGTAATGATTGGAACTCACCAGTGCTTTGCGAAAAAATAGACACACTAGATTGTTTTACTGTTTCTCTCCGTCATGCCGCAAGATAAAATTGGTGACTGTCTGAAACACGCGTCACAAAATTTGTGACAGTAATGATTTAATTATGTCCTCTTTCCTCTCTCGATTGTTTTGTTCTCCGCTGTGTTATTGTCTTTGTGTCCAGTCGGCTGCTGCTTCCTTCCATAAATCCTACCATTAAAGTCTGATGAAAATTATTATTATTAATGTTATTATTATTATTATTATTATTAATGTTATGATTATTATTATTATTATTATTATCACAGAATTTGTTATACGAGTTGTTTCATATTAGAAAAATCGTCGTTAACGTAAGATACGCTGACAGCGTTACGCAACGTAAAGAATTAACACATAAATACGTATATACGTATATACATACATTATGAAGGAAGGAAGGAAGACGCGTTAGCGGTGCTTTAGCCTGGGTGGGTGCGGTGGCGGTCGGATACGATAGCCACTGAGCTGCGTAGCATGGCTACTGTGGCATACCATTGCGCTCCCGACAAAACGTGCCGCAGAGAGGGGTGTGACGTCATACCATGTGGTGGTTTGTGCAAGACGCACCCACTCAGTGGTCAGCACGATGAAGGTTGTGTCAGTTCTATTATTTTTATGATTACTATTCTATAGAGAAAGATTATTAAACACACAATTACCCACGTGAACTGCTTTCCTGTCTTTTTGCTTTCCGTGTTGTGGACAAACATTTCATGTTTTTTGCCGCACACTCACGGCGTCCTCTTTTGTTCGGACAGAGATCGAGGTCCAGACGATCCTCGACTGCGGAACCAACAACGGTGGTTGCGACCACAAGTGCCGCAACACCTTGTACGGTCCAGAATGCTCGTGCAAGCCAGGCTACCGGTTGATGGGCGACCGCCAGGCGTGCGCAGGTATAGGGGCGGCGCCATCTTGAATTTCGTCACTTCCGGTATGGGCGAAAACATTGTTTTGCTATCGCCGCGCCAATAAAATACATTTAGGGTATAAGCGTGACCGTCCTCCATTCTCGATTTGCCAGCCTAGCACCGGCTGCACGAGCGATAACTTTAGCGCTCTACCGTTCTTCCCCACGCGCTCAAAAACTTTCTAAAGTTTACTGATGTCATGCATGGTTTTCGATTATGCACAGCAAGTTTCTAATTGAAACAACGTGCTTATTTTGACTAATTTCTTTCCTTATTTATATATTTATTTAGTTATACTCTAGGTACGTTAAAGCCCCATACAAGTGTGTGGCAATGCACATTTTACGGCACTCGCAAAAACCTCGCGCCGTTTTATAACTCACTGCACAACAGTGCCCAAAAACGAAAATAAGTGCACTACATAACAACCTTATTATTACAAAAATGTTCCACCAACGTAGAATTCCCCTAAAACCAACACAACTAAAGATACAAAAGATGGATCCACAGGCCCACCTAAGTTAGTGACAAACGATTCTTGGCAAATGACTTGACAGATAAACTATTTACCACCGGCACATGTAGGCGGTTCCCCTCTTGAAGTGCAAGGAATAAAGAATTATTAAATATATTATAATTACTTTGAAACGGTCAAGTTTATTTGTTGTGATAAATTATTCTTGAGCGAAAGAAAGAAGGTTCTAGGTAGTCATCACGATTTATGCTAATTTTACCATGGTATAGAGCAGGGCTTTCAAACCCAGGCCTACGGGCCATATGCGGCCCTTGGAGGCGAAAAGCCGTGGTCTTTCGAGCGGCGCCTAGCTCAAAGCCCTCTGCTACCAAAACAAATATCAACACGCGTAAAAAAAAAAAAAAAAAAAAAGATAAGGCGGCGTTGCGACGCGCAATAAAACGTAGATGATATCAGAACGAAACAGGTAACACTGCATTTAAAGAGAGGTTATCTAAACCACATAACTATTTACAGCAACCTGTCATCATCACCATTACTATTCGTAGTCCCATGTTTTACGTCAGTGTAACTATGTGAAATTCCTTTGCGTTCTTTTGTATATCGTACTTGGTGTACTGCGTCAAAACTATTGCATATTTTCATCCTAAGATTGACCATTCTCATTAGACTTCTGCTTTGTGTAAACCTGCCGAAGTTACTATGCGCCTTGATTTATGCCTGGTGAGTTTTCTGGTCACAAATTTTTTCGTAATGTCGAATCTAGCGACACATTGAATTTAAAAATGAAGTAAATGCATCACACATGTTATTTTTTAATTCTCGCTCGTTTAAATGTTTGTATTGAAATGATGATTTAGGTTTATTTATTTAGTATTTCCTTATTCATGTACTATTTATTTTTCGGCCCTACAGACTGCGACAGATTCCCAATATGGCTCCTTAGTCAAAACGTCCAGAGACTTTTGGTATAAAGGATACATAACACTTGGGTATGGCGATTGATATTGTGGATTTAGGAGATTCTTCTGCTGCGTCATTCCACATGGAGGTGACACTACATTTAAAAAAAATATGGATATATAAAAAAAGCAACTAAACTTGCCGCAATTTTTTTACCCTTTCTAGCTGAACCGAGAGATGCACACTTAATGAGGGCTCCACACAACGATGGCATATTCTAATGCATGTCTAAAAATCGTCTCATATGAACTAAGCTTAGCCTCCGGAGTTGAGTGTCTTCGTTTTCTTCTAAGAAATCCTGGACTCCGAAAGGTGTACCACAAAATGGGTCTGTGTGCCCCACTTAAGGTTATTTGTAATCAAACTCCCGAGTATTTTATGTTGTGTACAGTCTTGGGTAAGTTACTTTTAAAAAGTAATTCTTTACAGTTGCAGTTCATTTCACTAAAAAAGTAGCGAAGTTACCGTTTCAGTTACCGAAACAAAAAAGTAACTCATTACAGTTAGAGTTACTTTTAAATGTAACGACGTCCTTTTTAGTTACTTTTCTATAAAAAGCTGAAAATTTATGAAACACTAGAAAACGCCCTTCACCAAGTTTTATTGCATAAAATTAAAAATCATGCTTTTTAGTTTATATTGAAACTTAGCAGCAGTTGCTTTTTGGAAATAGTGGCTGAAAGTTTCCCTCATTTGATGGCCAGCACGTCCCTGTCCTTGCTGAACGGGCCCCGCGCAACCAGAGCAACAAGAAAATCCCGCGCAAACAGCCGTAAATCCTACCTCGACTGTTGCACCACGCCGGAGTAGTGGCGCGAATCGAAATACGAAACATGCGCAGTGCGAAGTAGTGGCGCTAATCAAAATACGAAACATTCGCAGTGCTCTCGGTGTGTATTGTTGTTTCATGGTTGATTCACCCGATTAAAAAGCGTTTGCCCAGAAAAAAGAGCAACCGCAACAAAGATAGGGCTTTAAGATATACTAAGATGTAAGTGTTCTGCCACGAAGTACAAACGCGTGCAAAACATAACTAGATGGCTATATTCGGGTCGTGACTCGCGAGGAAGAACGTGTTCACACGTTTGTTCAATGCCAACTTGACACTTGCATTGCCAAAACAGGCGATTTGGAAAGTGCAAGAAATAGCTAGATTGTACTCGTTCAATGATATATTATTCATAAGAAAACTGGAAAGTAACGACAAAAGTAACGCCGTTACTTTCATCGTTACCTCAGAAAAAAGTAATAGAACTACAGTTACAAGTTACATTTTTATAAAGTAACTCGTTACAGTTACAAGTTACCAAAAAAGTAACAAAGTTACAGTAACGATTTACTAGTAACGCGTTACTACCCAAGACTGGTTGTTTAATGTCTTAATGGTGTTGTTGTTTATGGTATTCTTAAAATCTAGAGTAGGTTTTCATTGCCAATAGGGACAGCGGATATCTTCGCGTAGTTTGTTTTCACTTCAATAATGTCTATTTTACAAAAAAAAAATAAGTTAAGGATGTCTTGGCTTTCTGTCCTAGTAACTGTGGTATGAATAACGCAGTCATTCGCAAATATTACTTTTAAGGATGGATCTACAGACCATCCCACATCATTAATATACGCTGTAAACGACTCAATTTTTGCGAGAACCTAATTTTTGTGAATTTAGCGAATCGCCTACGCTTCACGAAAAAATAGGCCCCGCTAATCTCTTTCCCTACAATTTGCGAATTTCGCGAACCACCCTGGTTCGAGAAATTTTGAGCTCGCGAAATATTCCTGAATACCACACTTCGATATTTGCGTCCGCTCTGCGCTGGGTAACGAAATGACGGCGCCGACAAGGCAATCAGGGAATGGAGTGCCGATACCCTAAGCAGCCAGAATTCACGCAGGTTATGACTTTAAAGAAGGAAAATGAAAGCAGCTGTCATTGGCCTAATTTCTAGTCGGTGTGGGAACTTTCTTTTTACAGCGATAGCATTTATGGGCTTTCCCATCACTGGGAAGGACGCCCCTTGTTGATGTTGTAGTTGTTGTCGATGTTGATATTGTAGTTGACGCAGCTGCGTTGGGTACGCGTCGTCGATGTTGCCGAATCCTTAAAAAATGTTACCAGCCGCCCGCAGGAATGGAACCCGGGTCTGCTGCGTGCGAGGCGGAGGCGTCACTACAGAGCTACGATACAGCGTTACCAACCAGCTTTATACCGATAATAAACCCTGGAGAAGGGGAACAAAGGACAAACACAAACCCTAATTGGAGATTTGTGTTTGTCCTTTGTCCCCCTTGTTCCCCTTCTTCGATGTTTATTATCGTTATTCTTTTCCTGCTCGCTTGCACCTTTGTACTAATCGCATTATCGTCACCTATTTATACTTCATTTTTTTCTTGTTTTCGGTAGTATTTAGTGCCCTTTGCACGCGCTCTCTGGGGAATAAATAGCCGATAAGAAAACGCCGTCGTAGCATTGTCAAAGCCAAAAGCTTATGCCGGGAGACGCTCTTTCACGCACTATGAAGAGAAAAAAAAAAGCGTTGGGAACAAAATGGTTAGGTGTCTATTTTGTTCCGAACGCTTTTGTTCACAAACCCCATGGTGCGTCAACGCAACGTTGATACCCAACGACTTTTGCCGTGACATATCGCCGCTATCGCTGTTACTGTACTTTAAATTAACGCAGGGCTGCTTTTTTTTCTCTCTCTTTCGAAGATATCAATGAGTGCGAAGAGCTCCCCAGCAAGTGCGTGCATCGCTGCCAGAATTTGCCGGGTTCTTTTCGGTGCGTGTGCCCGCCAGGACAAAGCATCTCTGAGGATGGAAGGACTTGCCAGGCAGCCCGTGAGTGCTTTTATTATTATTATTATTGGTTCATCCAAATTAACGCGATAGCGTTAAGGAGCTCGTGGCGCGCCAGAAAAGTCGGTGTGACGCGAAAATCCTTATTGGTCGATAATGTCAATGACGTCACAGCCACCTGACCTTGGCTCATCTGTCTGGAGGAGCGTACAGTTTTCATGCGTCGCGTAGGGGCGGAAAGTTTCCATCCGTCGCCGAGTCCGCCCAGTGGCGCTGCGATCCTGCCGACATCGTTCGCCTGTGGAGACTGCGTACCTTGCCACAGACCGTCGCTAGGCCGCCAGGAAAAAACACGTGTGCGATGGGTGTGGTGCCGTCTACCAGTGCGGAACGCTGTTCCGAGTCGTCGTCTTCTACGAGTGCGGGTGCCGCATCTACGTCTGCTCCTGCTCGGCGACAGGGTTGACCACGTAAGACTGAAGCCGAGAAGGCGGAGACGAAGGCTAGAAGTGCATAGGCGATCCGCCACGAGCGGGCTGAGGATTCGACAACGCTATCGCGTTCCACTCTTAAAGGCGAAGCTTAAGCGCCCTCCGACTTCTTCCTTAATTGCAATCGTAAAACGGAATTAATTAGGCCGCGGTGGGTTTTCGGCGGACGATGTACAAACATATGACCAACCCGACAGAATGGCATCACATGCACGGCCACGTTCGTGACTAAAAATTCAAATTCAGCCTTTAAAAAAAAAAAAAAATATCCTGCACATTGCGCGCTGTTAATCAGTTCAGCATTCCCTGCTGGAAGGCCTTCCCTCGCTACACCTCTCACGCAACACTTAGTCATGAACAATCCTTGCCGTCGTTCATAGTCCGTGAAAGGCGCATTAGGCACGGCATGAAAATATAAAGAGTAAACTTACCTCACGAACACTGAATGCTCTCGCCAAACGTGGGTTGGCACGGAACATCGTCTAGGCGCTCTCAAATTGCGTGGACTACGGTCACGTCAAAACAGGCGTCAAAACGGGGTCAGATGTCCCTTGCTGGTCACTGAGCTAGCTCGGGAATTCCGACGATGACGTCACGACGCTCTGAGCAGATAACAGGCGGCCGGGAGGATCGTCGCACGCAATGCGGCAGTCGCTGCACGCATTATTTAAAGTAAATGTGGTTTACGTTTACTTCTGCCGAAGATAAGTGCGATAACTGAATTCACGCGACAAAAAGCTATAGAAGTCTGCCCCCAAGTCACGTTTCGTGAAACGTGCATCAACTTCCCTTTAAACCTGAAAAAAAAAAATCTATGCACAGAGGAAAACGTCAGAAACCTTTTGGTTGACGGTGCTACTCATACACGGCAAAACATAAAGCAGAAACGTGAGCGCTTCGGTGATATGATTAGTCGAAAGCAGATTCGGCGGATGCGAACGTGCGTGGTACCACCTGTGAGTAACCACGTCAGCCAGAAACCAGAAGGTTTTTGACGTTTTCTTCTATTTTGTATAAGAAAAAAAAAAGCTTTTTTTAATATTATTTTTTTTCCCTGAAGCTTACACTTATAAATCTTAAGTATCATAAATTCTCCACTTAAAAGTCCCTGTGAAATTTTTCAATGGACTCCGTTCATTGGCTAATTTACACGAATTATTTTACGCCCGAACAGCGCTTGAGAACAACACCTTGTATGTTTAAATCGGAGTCTCAATTTCACTTTATTAAATTTTCTTTTTAGTTTTCACATAAGTATACGTTTTTATTGGTTACAATATTGCTGATTGTTGTTCGCAGCGCATGCTCGTAACTAGCTCTCTTTTATCGTCTGCCAAGAACAAATATCTTGAGTGGGTGGAATGCACGATTATGCACGTTCAACATGCGTTCTACCCAACCAAAATCGTTGTTCTTGGAAAACGTTAATTGGAAATTAATTCTAAGAATGTGTTATGAATAACGATTAAAATATTGTAATAATGATGCCAGTTAAGCCATGCTCCGGTGGCATGGGAATAAAGAAGAAATGTTGGCATCTCGGATTATACGCCCTCAGGAACGAGGATGCTTCATGTTAGTTTCTGCACGCGGCTTCTTTGGAGAATTTCATAACAATTGGCGACGATGATAGACCTATTCTTTCCGGCAAGTGATCACTATTACTGAGCTCCGGAATTCCAACACATGTGACCTTAGAAACCTTCCGTGGGGAACCTACAGGGTGAATCGACTATATAAAAAGCAACACACAGTTTTTCGAGCCAAACATCGTTCTTCCTTCTAAAAGATGGTCCGACTTCCTGCTGTCTTGGGTGCAAAGACATACTCGCGTCTGCGGAGCATCTAGAACCCCAAGGTTCCTGTTTTAGCATAAAAATATTTTCGGTGTTCTCAGCAACCGTTTCACTCGCAAACTCTCCGTGCTAGTCAGCCGTTGCAAGTTCACTCTATACTGACAAACAAGAAAATTCATTAATGCTCACATTACCGCACCCAAAACATCACCGAGCCCGTTGAGTACAGATCCTTCTTGAGCGGCATGTTTCGCGGCAGGCTTGACTGTAGTATCTGTTGTAACCTGGTTCAGGTGGCAAATATATTTATTTCGAGGAGCCGAAACTAAGCAGGTCCGGCCGCCAGGACATACGGTGCCGAACGCCCGAGCTGCCAGCCACGCGAGCCCGTGCAACTGGCTTGATGGTCCCTTCGATGATGATAGCAGGCTGTCTGCTACATCTCCCCGATTACGAAGACTGGAAGCGCTCCGGTGCCATGCGTCTTCGTTGAGGGTACCTTGGAATGTGCTCCAAATTACGGTGTAAAGCTCCTGGGCTTGCTGGAGTTGGAAATTCCGTTGGAGACGCAGTGCGTTCAACCGGTGGACTTCTGCTGACCGGAAACAGGAGGCCTTCGAAAGCGTCGGATGTGACTCTGTTCTTTAGGTGGTCAGCATGCACACGGCGAACTTTGAAGTTCTCATCCAGGACCTCGAAAATCACGCTGCCTACCCTTCCTTAAATCACACCCTTAATCCAGTGCTGTTTTCTCAGAGGGTGCTTGATCCAGACTTTTTGGTGAATTGCGAACGAGCGCGAGTTCAAGTGGCGGATCTGTGGAGACCTGGACGGTTTGGCCGAGGGTTTTACCAAATCAAGCACCGTCCTATAGTGTCTCTGGTTCAAAATTAAGCATGGGGCCTTCCCAGTGGATATGTGAGGGGTAATGCGGTATCGCATCAAGAAGTCTTGTAGGCTCTTCCGGCTGTCCTTGCCCTTTGCGCGACGAAGAGCGGTCTTGAACGTCTTCACGAAGTTCTAGGCTTGACCATTTGATTTCGGATGATACGATGGCGTGAGAAGGTGGTCAATGCCGTTTTGAACCAGAAACGTCTCGAATTCGGAACTAATGAACTGAGGGCCATTGTCCGTTACCAACTGTTGTGGAAGACCATGGTACTGAAATATTTCTTTGAAGGCATCCATGGTTGCTGATGCTTTCGTAGATGTCATCTGTATGACTTCCGGCCATTTGCTAAAAGCATCAATGACGATGAGGTAGTGCTTTTGGTCCAATTCTGCAAAGTCTGCATGGAGGCGATGCCAGGGTGTTCCTGGATCTTCCCAACGATGCAGAGGGATTTGCGGTCGGGCGTCCGATATTGATGCGCACTGTTCGCACTGTTGAGCTTGTTTTTCGATTTCATGGTCCATTCTTGGCCACCAAACATAAGATCGCGCGAACATCTTCATCTTCGTTTGACCAATGTGACCCTCATGAAGCAGATCGAGGACATGTGGCCTGAACTTGCTAGGAATTACCGTTTGATCATTCCAGAGAATGCAACCGTCGAGCTCGGCAAGTTCTGCTCTTTGCTTGTGGAACGGTTGAATATTTGGGTCAACGATCTTCGTTGGCCATCCTTCCAAAATGTGTGTGCGAACCTGGGAGAGCGTTTTATCCTTTGCTGTCTCCTTGGCGATGTCAGCTGCCCTGATGGGGAACTTTGCCAGAGTTTCGGTGTGGAGTGCGAAGACATCTTCAGACCTCAATTGAATGGAAAACACGCCTTGTGACATCTCTTGGTCAAAGGCTTGATCAGGGCCTTCAGCAAACCGGGACAGACCATCAGCGTTCCCAAACCTTTCGGTTGGAACATACTCGATGGTGTAGGCGTAATTCATTAAGATTAGCGCCTAACGGTGAAGTCTGTTAGCTGAAGTGACTGGAATGCCCTTGGTTGGTCCAAAATGGTGGTCAAAGTTCGATGATCTGTGTACAAGACAAACTTGTGTCCCCAGAGATACTGGTGAAACTTACGTACACCAAAGATGATTGCCAGTGCCTCTTTCTCAATTTGGGCATACTTCCGCTCCGTCTTCGTAAGCGTCTTTGAGGCGTGAGCGATGGGACATTCTCTTCCATTGATTTTATGGTATATCACTGCTCCAACTCCCTCTGATGAAGCATCTGCCGCAAGGTAGATCGTCTTGTCAGGGTCGAAGTGGGCAAGAGCTTCGGTTGCTGATAGATGCTGTTTGATCCTGTCAAAAGCGTCCACACAATCGGAGGTCCAGTTCCAGGCAGTGTCCTTTCGTAGAAGGGCGTTTAGTGGTGCGGATATTTTGGCCAGGCTTGGCAGGAACTTACTGTAGTGTTGGATCATCCCCAGAAGAGATCTCAGCTGGCTGACATTTTTGGGCTCAGGCATGTTGAGGATAGCAGAAATCTTCTTAGGGGACGGACTTAACCCTTCACCGTGAACCACTTGTCCAAGATATTCTACTTGCTCTTGAAGAAAGCTGCACTTGCTTTTCTTCAGAGTGAACCCGTATTCTTCGAGGCGCTTGAGGACTCGTTCCAGATTCCGAAGATGATCGGAAGTGTCCTTCCCGGTCACAATTATGTCGTCTAGATAACAAGCCACGCCATCAATACCTGCAGTGACCTGGTCCATTGTTCGTTGGAACACGGCTGGTGCCGATGCAATTCCAAAAGGCATTCGATGAAATTGAAAAAGTCCTTTATGGGTGTTGATTACAAGGACTTGCT